CCTGGTGAAATTCAGAAACCTTCCCATCCTTTCTGTGGACTGCTAGTCACGTGACCACCCACCCTGAAGTGCAAGGCTCCGTCAGAAGGCGGAGCAATCGCACAGGCGAGTTGGTAGTACATGAAGGAAGAAAAAGTACATCTTAATCGGTCCCAGGCCCTCTTCTAGAGCATATCGGAAGGGGGAGAGGGGTGGTTGGGTGGGGCGCTGGGAAATCACACAAGGACTACTTGCGAATGTTCGCCCCCTGAGGCCTAAACAAAGGCGTAAACTGCGCACAACCATCTTCCTTATATGTGCGCTTTCGAACGGAAAGTACGAAGATCCGTCCCCCCCTCCCCCGATTACACCAGTAAATCATCGGATCGGCAAGTCCGTAGCAGTTCTTCGGGAAGCGGAATCACACAGGTGCACACAAAAAATCTTCCCTCTATAGGATGTGCTACCATTTACACATATAAGGTTATTGCGGTGATGTGGCATTTGTCCGACATGTGATCTGTACTCGTGACTTAACCACCAGCCTTCAGAGGAGAGACAGAAAGTTCTTCTCTGGACGGAGATTACTTGGGCTAGAGGCCGAGGCCTACTTTTGGACAAATGCGCGAAACTAGACTGACTGACCGCAAGTGCGGCATACAGGTAGAAGCGGCCGGAAAAGCCTAATCTTTCAGCTGCCATAGACACATTTTCTGCTGACGGATGTTAAATAACCGAAAAAAAAAACACTTGAGTTGAGTGACGAAAGCTAGCTTTGGCGACCGAATGATGCTGAATAGATGCAGAAATGGGGTAGACGGCTATGCAGTAGGGGAAAATAAGGCGAAGGAGTGCTAGCAGGGTCCACACCTTAGTAATCCGAACTTACTGTGCGAGGTCAGCTCAGCCTCCGGCATTTGGGGCGGGTACTCAGCATCCCAGTGGACCTGTTCATCATCCGTCAGGATGACAACATGACATTCGCGTTCACCTAGGCGAGCGCACTCCATCAGTTTCGGCAGAATGCTCTCCTCCAGGAAGTGCTCAAAGATAGTGTAGGCACCGTCGTTGGAGACCTCGTGCAGAAACTCTCCTAGAAAGGGGGGGAACAGGGCGAAAAACAGTTACAAGGGCGGAAGCAGGCAAGATATCAACAACCGATCCGGGGATTCGCACCCTCAATCTCGACATTCTGACCATTTGGCAATCGGAAAGCCAGTGAAAGTCAGAACCAAAGTTCTAGTAGTTTAACCGTCGGTTTCGACTGTGTCCACCGTATGCTCCAAGCAGGGTGCTCACCTGCGCGTGGATTACTTTTAAATAATAGTCGACTTTCACACCATCTACCTCATTTTCT